CCGCCCGCTCTCAGTGAAGGCGCCGGGCGGAAAAGCCGCGCGGGGAGGCGGGGCCGCACGGGTGGAGGTAGGGGTGATTGACGCGCCAGTCGAATAATGAGAGCGCGGTGTTGGAAGTGCCACCGCCCAATGAGGCTACGGTTGGGCGGGGAGGGGCGGGTTCGTGACATCAGCAGTGTCGGCGGCCAATGGGGAGGCCGGTCGCGTCTATATAAGGGCGGGCGGGGGCAGGCCGAGCGGCGCCATTTCGCGGTGGACGAGGGGACGGAGCTGGTCGGGCCGCGGCAGAGAGAGCGAGCGAGCGAGAGAGAGCGCGCAGAGGGGCGGCCCCTTCAAAAAAAAAAAAGCAACCAACCTCTCTCGGCTCCATCCCCCCGGAGAAGCTCCGAGGGGGGGAAACCCTCCCCGGCCTCCGCAGCGACCCCTGCCTGCGGCCACCGGCGGCGAGCGGCCGCCTCCTCGTCCTCCTCCTCCTTCCCCCCCTCCACCTCCCTCAGCGAGCCAAGATGGAGCGCGGCCGCTGATCCCGTCGATCCGCCGTCATCCGCCGGCCTCCCCGCGGCTCAGCGCCTCGTCTGCGGTCCTTGCGGGTGCTCCGGGCTCCGAGCGACTCGCCGAGGGTTGTATCGAGCGCGTCGCGAAGGGTTTGTGCCTCCCGGTGAAGCTCCGAAGAGGGGACCCCCCCCTCCCCTCCAGTACCCCCCCGTTGCATCCCTTCAGCGCTCGCCGCCATTTTCGCCGCGCCCGTGGATGTTGAGGCCGTGGGAGGGTCCCGGCATCGTCTCCTGAGGGAAAATTAATTAGATAGAGGAAAGGGGGGGCTCCTGGCTCGCCTCCCGACCCCCTCCCCGTCCTCATCCCGCCGGGGATGCGCTGACGGGGGGGGGCCCCCACCGGGCCGCGAGCGGCGGAGCTTTGGCCGGGCAAAGTGGGGGGGTCGTCGGAGGAGACGGCGGGAGGAGGAGGAGGAGGAGGAGGAAGAGGAGACGAGGGCCCGCGGGCCGCGCACGGAGCCGTCGGGATGTTGCAGAATGTGAATCCCCAGAGCAAGTAGGTGCTTTGTGCGGGGGGGACTAAAGGGGTTTTGGGGTTTCATGGGGGAGGGTGCGTTGTGGGGTTGGGGCTTGGTGTTGGCAAGGTCGTGAAGTGGCACTGTGAGACCCCCATGCAGTGGAACCCCCGTGTTGTGTCACTGTGGGATCCCTGCAAGGTGGGACCCCCCCCCCTTGTGACACTGGGATACCCATTCAGTGGGACCCCCGTACTGTGACAGTGTCACTGTGGGACCCTCACCTTGTGGCACTGTGAGACCCCCACAAGTTGGGACCCCCACACTGTGACAGTGTCATTGTGGGACCTCTATGTCATGACAGTGGCACTGTGGGACCTCCACGGGGTGGGAAGGTGTCATTGTGGGACCCCCAGGTTGTGTCACTCCAACACAGTGGGACTCCCATGTTGTGACACTGCAGGACCCCAAAGATTTGACAGTGTCATGGTGGGACTCCCCACATGATGGGACCCCCATGCTGTGACAGTGTCATGGTGGGACCCCCAAATTGTGTCACTGAGAACCCCAAGCTGTAACAGTGTCTCTCTGGAATCCCCATGTTGACACCCCCATGTTGTGATACTGTGGGACCCCCAAGCCATGGCAGTGTCACTGTGGGACTCTCATGTTGTGGCACTGTAGGACCCCCGTGCAGTGGGACCCCAATGTCGTGACAGTGTCACTGTGGGACCCCCAGGTTGTGTCATCCCAATACAGTGGGACCCCCACCTTGTGACACTTTGGGACCCCTGCGGGATGTGACCCCGACATTGTGACCCTGAGGGAGCCTCATGCTGTGACAGTGACACTGTGGGACCCCCCAAGCTGTGACAGTGGCCCTGGGGGTCACTGTCCTTGTCATGGGGGGGTCGTGCCCTTGGGGACACTCCTGGGGTCACTCAGAGGTCAGCTCAGGGAAAAAAGGGGGTCCCAGCCCCCCCAAAGCTGAGCTGGGGGAGAGGCTCGAGAGCTCGGCCAGGAGCTGGTTGAGGGAACAGCTGGAATTTTGGGGGAGTCTTGGGGGTCCCTGAAGCCTTTGGATTGGTGCCTGGGGGTTCGTGTTCTGGGACCCCCCCAAGACCTTGGTGTTGGTGTCCTGGGGGTCCCTGGAGCCTTGGAATCACTGTCCTGGGGGTCCCTGTTCCGGGAATCCCCCCAAACCTTGGTGGTGGTGTCCCAGGGGTCCCCATGGCCACTGTGGCATTTCCCGGTTTGTTTTCCGTAATTTTCCTTTTTTCTGGATATTTCAGGACCCTCAGACTCCTTGTTGCCCTAAAATGCTGTTTATTGCTCTAAACCACTGATTTTTCCCAGAAATCAGTGCAATTCCTGGGAATTCCTGGGAGCTTGTGGACAGAATCCTGGGGGTTTGTGGCTGAAATCCACAGGAGCTCATGGGTGGAATGCATGGGGTTTCATGGCAAAATCCGTGGGGGTTTGGAGTTGAACTTCTTGGGAGTTTAGGTCCAGAATTCCTGGGTGTTCATAACTGAAATCCATGGGAGCTCCTGTGCAGAATCCATGGGGGTTCGTGTCTGAAATTCCCGGGAGTTCACGGCCAGAATTCCTGGGAGTTCATGGCTGAAATCCATGGGGGATCCTGTCTGAAATTCCCTAGAGTTCATGGCCAAAATTCATGGAAGTTTGCAGCTAAAATTCCCGGGTATTCCTGGCCAAAATCCATGGGGTTTGTGGCTGAAATTCTCAGGAGTTCATGGCCAGAATTCCTGGGAGTTCATGGCTGAAATCTGTGGGAGCTTGTGGGCAGAATCTGTGGGGGTTCACGACCAGAATTCCCATGGGAAGCTCCTCTTCATCCCAAAGATCTGGACAGTGGTAACGGCCCTGATAGCAGCTCAAGGAGCAGTGTCAGCTCCTTCCGGGACTCCCTCCGGGGAATTCTGGGAAGCAGATCCATCCCCCTTTTCCCTTAACCCCTGTGTGTCTCCTCCCCTCCCCACAGGATCCTGGGGAAGGGCAATGCCGGGTGACTGAAATCCATGGGAGCTCCTGGGGAGAATTCCTGGGGGTTCACGACAAAGTCCATGGGGCTTCAGGGCCGAAATTCCCATGAGGTCGTGGCTGGAATTCCTGGGGGTTTGTGGCCAAGTCCATGGGGGTTCAGGGCTGAAATTCCCAGGACTTTATGGACAGAATTCCTGGGGGAAATATAGGGTCTCCCAGGCAGAATCCATGGGGGTTCAGGGCTGATATTCCTGGGAGTTCGTGGCTGAAATCCGTGGGAGCTCCCGGGCAGAATCCATGGGGATTCATGGCCAGAATTCCCTTGGGAAGCTCCCCCTCATCCCCAAAGGTCTGAATGGTGGTGCTCCGTAGTGGTTCTTCCCGGGAATCCCCTCCCTGAATCCCACGTGTTGTCCCCTCCCTCGCAGGCTCCTGGGGGAGGGCAATGCCGGGCTCATGGCGCTGGCGACGCCGACGGAGTCGACTCCCGGGAAGCGGATCCGCAAACCTTCGCTGCTCTACGAGGGCTTCGAGAGCCCCACCATGGCCTCGGCTCCGGCCCTTCCCAACCCTCAGGCCAATCCGCCGCCTCCCGAGGTTTCCAATCCCAAAAAGCCCGGCCGGATCACCAACCAGCTCCAGTACCTGCACAAGGTGGTGATGAAGGCGCTGTGGAAGCACCAGTTCGCCTGGCCCTTCCGCCAGCCCGTGGACGCTGTCAAGTTGGGCCTGCCGGTAATTCCTGAGGGTGGGAATGCCGGGAATTCCGTGTGGGTGTGCGACCCCTCCCCTCCCCCCAGTCCTTAATCCCACTCAGGCAGAGGTAGATCCAGCTTTTATTTTAATCCCGCTCGGCCACAGGTGTCACCCCGTTATCCCATCCTACATCCACCCCCGGGGCTCCCGCTCTCCCGGAGGAGGGATCCCGATGTCCCTACAAAGTTATGGATGAGGGATATTCCCGGCGCTTCCCGACCTAATCTCTTGTGCCCTGAATGCGTTTTGCAGATGTCTCCCATCCATGAGTTTGTAGAAGACATCCCGAGGCCCCCAAATTTAAGGCACCTGTGGCGCCCAAGGAGTTAAAGCCCGAGGAGGTAAATTCAAACCGGAGGGGTTGCTGTTCCCATTCGGTTTAAGCTCGACTTAAGCCCAACTTAAATTGCCCCCTGAAATTTGATTTTAATTGCCCTTCAACTCACCTTCAATTTAGGTTCAGGTCAAGATAGGTTTAGTTTAAATTCACTCCAAATTTGCTGTAGTTTACCTTTAAATTTAGGTCAGGTTCCTGGTAAGTTTACCTTTAACTCACCTTAGGTTTAGCTTAAATGCAGCTGAAGCTTAGCTTTAATTCATTTTAAGTTTAGCTTACGTCCACCTTAGATTTGGTTTCAATCCGTGTTATAAATTCACCTTAAGGTTAGCTTGAATTCAGCTTCTGTTTCCCTTAAAGCTGGCTTTAATTTGGCTTAAAACCACCTTAGACTTTGGTGCAATTTATCTTAAGTTCAGTTTAAATTCATTTTATGTTTAACTTCAGTCCATCTTCAATATTGTTTTAATTCTCCTGAAATTTAGCTTAACTTCATCTGAACTTTAACCTTAACTCAGCTTAAATTTACCTTAAATTCATCTTAAATTCAATATAAATTCACTTTAAATGTGGCTTAGATTCAGTTTGAACTTAGTTTAAATCCACTGTAAGTTCAGCTTTGATTTGCCTTAAGTTTAGCTTAAATCCACCTTAAGTTCAATTTAAATTCTCCTTAAATTTAGTTTAAATCTGGGTTCAATTTAGCTTCAATTCACCTTGAATTTAGCTTCAATTCACTTCAAGTTTATCTTAAATTTCTCCTAAATTTAGTTTACATCCACCTCAAGTTTAGCTTAAACCTATCTCAAGTTAAGCTTAAATCCACCTCAAGTTTTGGTTGGATTCACCTCAACTTTAGCTTAAATCCACCTGAAATTTAGCTTAAACTTCCCTTGAATTTAGCTTAAATTCCCCTTAAATTCAGCTTAAATTCCCACTCCCACCCCTGTGTCGCCTCCCAGCTGCTCCCACCCCTCTGACCACCCCGAACCCCCCCCTTCGGAGCTGCTTCCAACAACATTCCCAGTCATTCCCACCACATCCACAGGGAATTCCTCCCCTTCCCCTTTCCACCCCCTAAGCCCCCCTTCAGCTGAACACGAGTGACCCCGCGGTGACCCCCCGATCCCCGCTGTCGCTGTTTTCCCAGGATTACCACAAGATCATCAAGCAGCCCATGGATATGGGAACCATCAAGAGGCGCCTGGAGAACAACTATTACTGGGGGGCAGCCGAGTGCATGCAGGACTTCAACACCATGTTCACCAACTGCTACATCTACAACAAGGTGGGACCGCCCCCAAAACACCCCTGGCACCCCCCAAAAGTCGAGCCCGGCATTCCCTGACTCCAGATCCAACAATTCCCACAGCCCACGGATGACATCGTGCTGATGGCACAGACCCTGGAGAAGATCTTCCTGCAGAAGGTGGCCCAGATGCCTCCGGAGGAGCAGGAGATCGTGGTGCCTGTGGCCAAGAACAGCCATAAAAAGGGGGCGTCCAGGGCAGCAGGTGAGGAAAAGGGGGGCCCTAAAAGTTGGGAATGGGTGAGGGTGACGGTGGGGGGTCCCCAAAAGCTCCACCAGGTGCTTTGTGTCCCTTGGGGCGACATTGAGGGGTCCTGGGGGTCCCCAGACCTGGCACCAGTATTCCAGGGTGTCCTTTGGGATAACACTGGCATTCCTAGGGGTCCCCAATCCCCATCTCCAGGTGTTCTCTGTGTCCCTTGGGAACAGTGGGATGACAGTGGAGGGCCCAGGGGTTCTCCAACCCTTGGCTCCATGTATTCCCTGTATCCTTTGGGAGGCCCCCAGGGGGCCCCAGCCCCTTTTCCCCTGGGTGTCCCTTGGGATAACAGCAGCATTCCCAGGTTTTTTTCTCTCCCCGTTTGCAGCGCTCCTGGCGGGACTGACGGCAGCTCAGCAGGTCCCGGCCGTGTCCTCGGTGTCCCAGCCCACAGTGTACCCCCCCACGACCCCCGAGATCCCCACAACCATCGTCAACATCCCCCACCCCTCGGTCATCTCCGCCCCCATCCTGAAATCCCTGCATCCCAACGCTCCGGCCGTCCTGGCCCCGCCCGCGCCCACACAGCCCGTGGCCAAGGTGGGAATTCTGGGGGAGATGGGATGTGGGGGATCGAGGGGGCTGGGATGGGGGTTCTGGGGGTTGGGATGGAGGTTTTAGACACTGGGACGAGGGATGTTGGTGCTGGGATGGAGTTTCCGGATGTTGAGATGAGGGTTGGAGATGTTGGGATGGGGGTCCCACATGTCAATCCCAGATGCGAGGACGAGGGTCCCACCTGCCGGTCCACCTTCCACCCTCCCCCTCTCGACCCCTCTGATCCCACCTTTTCTCTTCCCAGAAAAAGGGGGTGAAGCGGAAAGCCGACACCACCACGCCCACCACCACGGCCATCATCGCCACCAGCACCGGCGGCGAGTCCTCCCCGTCCCCCTCGGCCTCCGGAGCCCCCCCGGACCTCCCGAAACCTGCCAAGATCCCCGCCCGGCGCGAGAGCGGCCGCCCCATCAAACCCCCCCGCAAGGACCTCCCGGATTCCCAGCAGCACCAAACTTCCAAGAAGGGGAAGCTCTCGGAGCAGCTCAAGTATTGCAACGGGATCCTGAAGGAGCTGCTGTCCAAGAAGCACGCGGCCTACGCGTGGCCCTTCTACAAGCCCGTGGACGCCTCGGCCCTGGGGCTCCACGACTACCACGAGATCATCAAGCACCCCATGGATCTCAGCACCATCAAGGTGGGGGCTCTGGAACCACCCCCCGGAGCCGGCAATCCCGAAAATCCTTTGGGGAACCCCGGGAACCTCGGGGGGAGTTGAGGGAAGGGACACAGGAGGGGTTTTGGGGAATTCCCAAGAGGAATCACGGGGGGGTTTGAGGTGTCCCCGAGGGGTGGTTTTGGGATTTTTTTTTGGGGGGGGGATTCTCAAGGGGGATCACAGGAAGGTTTTGAGGGGTCCCCAGGGTGGATTTGGAGTGGTTTGGGGGGTCATTCCTGTCCCTTTTGCCCCCCCAGAGGAAGATGGAGAACCGGGACTACCACGACGCGCAGGAATTCGCGGCCGACGTGCGGTTGATGTTCTCCAACTGCTACAAGTACAACCCGCCCGACCACGATGTGGTGGCCATGGCCAGGAAGCTCCAGGTCATTCCCAACCCCCTTAAAATCCGGGATATCCCACCCTCAAACCCAAAAATCCCTTTAAAACCCAGGATATCCAACCCCTAAATCTTGGAATTCCAGCACAGGATGGGTATGAGAGGTTGGGATGGAGGTTCTAGGTGTTGGCCAGGAAGCTCCAGGTCATCCTCGCTCCTCTTGAAATCTGGGATATCCCATCCCAAATCCACAAATCCCATTAAAATCCATGATATCCCACACCAAAGCCTGGAATTCCAGCATTTGAGATGTTGGGATGTGGGGTCTGGATACTGGGATGGGGTTCAGAATGGGGGTTCCAGGTGTTGGGATGGAAATTGTGGGAGCCAGGATGGGGTTTTCAGATGTTGGGATGGGGATTCCAAATTTCAAAATGGGGATTCCAAATTTCAAAATGGGGTTTCTGAGGTTTGGGATGAGGATCACAGGCACTGGAATGGGGGTCCCAGGTGTCAGGAGGGGATTGCAGATGTACCAGACCCCAGGCTATCCCACCCCACCCCACCGCAAACTCCCACCCCGATCCCAAATTTTCCCCCCCTTCCAGGACGTGTTCGAGTTCAGCTACGCCAAAATGCCGGATGAGCCGCAGGATGCCGGAGCTCCCTCTGTGTCCACCCCGCTGCCCGTTCCCAAATCCTCCTCCGAGGAATCTTCCAGCGATGAGGACGACGAGGACGAGGACGACGAAGACGACGAGGATGACGAGACCAGCACGGAAAGCTCCTCGGAGAGCGAGGAGAGCTCGGATTCCGAGGAGGAACGAGCCAACCGGCTGGCGGAGCTGCAGGAGCAGGTGAGGGGCCGTCCCAGGGAACGATCCGCGGCCAGAATTCCCTCGGGATCAGCTCCCTGACCCCCCCCCCGGTGTCTCCTCCCCCCTACAGCTGCGGGCCGTGCACGAGCAGCTGGCTGCCCTCTCGCAGGGCCCCGTGTCCAAACCCAAGAAAAAGCGGGAGAAGAGGAAGAGGAAGAAGTCGGAGAAGCACAAAGGGAGGGACGAGGAGACGAGGGCGAGGCAGGCGCAGCTGCGGAGGGCCCGGAAAGCTGGAGGTGGCGGCGGATCCAAGTGAGGGGATGGTGGGAATGGTGGGAATGGTGGGAAGGAGGCCCGGGGAGGGTGGGGCAAAGGGTTCTGGGCGTTGGGATCGGGGTTTGGGGTGTCTGGATGGGGATTTGGGGAGGCAGGATGGAGGTGCTGGACGCTGGCATGGGGTTCATGGTGTTGGGATAGGAATTTTGGGAGCTGGGACGGGAGTTCAGGGTGCTGGGAAGGAGCTCCAGATGTTAGGATTGGGGTTCTGTGTGTTGGGATGAGAATTTTAGGAGCCAGGATGGGGTTTCCGGATATTGGGATGGGGGTTCAGGATGCTGGAATGAGGGATGTGGACATTGGGATGGGGTTCAGGATGCTGGGTTCTGGATATTGGGATGGAGGTTTTGGATGTGGGGATGAGAGTTCAGGAGGTAGGGATGGGGGTTCTGGATGCTGGAATAGGGTTTTGGATGTCGGGATGGGGCTCCAAAATCCCTGTGGGACCACCCCAGGCTCCCTGGGAACCACAAAACCCCAGCAGGGCCCACGCCAACGGAGCCCCGGGTGCTTCTTCCCACCAGGAATTCCAAGAAATCCGCCAAACCTGCCTTGCCAGCCCCTCCATCCCTCTACGATTCCGAGGAAGAGGAGGAATCCAAACCCATGACCTACGACGAGAAGCGTCAGCTGAGCCTGGACATCAACAAACTTCCCGGGGAAAAACTGGGAAGGGTGGTGCACATCATCCAATCCCGGGAGCCTTCCCTGCGGGATTCCAATCCCGAGGAAATTGAGATCGACTTCGAGACCCTCAAACCCTCCACGCTGAGGGAGCTGGAGCGTTACGTCCTGTCCTGCCTCCGGAAAAAACCCCGGAAACCCTACAGCGAGAGTGAGTTTGGAGGAGTCCCAGGGATCTGGGGGGGGCAGAGGGGGTGTGGATCCAGTGGGATTTTCCTGGGGTTCTTTTTGTAGCCATGAAGAAGCCGGTGGGGAAGACGAAAGAGGAGCTGGCGCTGGAGAAGAAGAGGGAGCTGGAAAAGCGTCTCCAGGACGTCAGTGGGCAGCTGAACTCGGCCAAGAAACCCCCCAAGAAGGGTCTGGAATCTTGGGAATGGGCACTGGGATGTTGGGATGGGGGTCTGGGACGTCGGCGTGGGGGGTGGGGTGTTGGGATTTGGGGCTGGGATGGGGTTCAGAGTGTTGGGAGGGGGGTTGGGGTGGGATGTCAGAGCTGAACTGGGCCAAGAAACCCCCCAAGAAGGGTCTGGAATTTTGGGAATGGGCATCGGGATGGAGGTCTGGGATGTTGGGATGGGGGGTAGGATGGAATTTCAGGTGCCAGGATGGGTTTCTGGGGTGCTGATCCCGCTGGATCCTGCCACTCATTCCCAGTTTTTCCCCCCCCCTGCAGCCAATGAGAAGCCGGAATCCGCCCAACAAGTGGCAGCTTCCCGACTTTCTGCCTCCAGCTCCAGCTCTGATTCCAGCAGCTCCAGCTCCTCCTCCTCCTCCTC